GCTGTTAAGAGCATTCATGAGTCAAGGGAAGAGGTCAAAATATCAACTTTAATGGGAGTTTGAAAGAAGTTGATTCCAACTCTCATAGATGACTTTGAGTGGTTCAAGACTTCAGTGGAGGTAGTCACTGCTGATGTGGTGGAAATAGCAAGAGAACTAGAAGTGGAAGTGTACCCTGAAGATGTGAGTGACTTGCTGCAATCTCATAATCAAACTTGAATTGATGAGGAGTTGCTTCTTACGGATGAACAAAGAAAGTGGTTTCTACTCCTGGTGAAGATTCTGTGAACATTGTTGAAATGACAACAAACAATTTAGAACATTACATAAGGTTAGTTGATAAAGCAGTGGCAGGGTTTGAGAGGACTGACTCCAACTGTGAAAGAAGTTCTACTGTGGGTAAACTGCTATCAAATAGAATCACATGCTACAGAGAAATCTCTTGTGAAAGGAAGAGTTCATTGATGTGGCAAACTTCACTGTTGTGTTAGTTTAAGAAATTGTCACAACCACCCCAATCTTCAGCAACAACCACCCTGATATGTCACAGTCATCAATACTGAGGCAAGACCCTCCACCAGCAAAAGATGACAACTCACTGCAGGCTCAGATGATCGTTAGCTTTTTTTTTTTAATCAATAAGCTGTTTTTAATGAAGGTAGGCACATTCCTTTTTAGACATATTATCCACTTAATAAAGTACAGTATAGTGTAAACATAACTTCTGTATGCTGTGGGAAACCAAAACATTTTTGTGTGACTCACTTCATTGCAGTGACTGGAACTGAATCTGAAATATCTCGGAGGTATACCTGTATAATTTCCTCGGGTGTTGATCATGCTTCATTTTAAAAGGAGGATATCTGAGAACCTGGCTATCTTGAAAATAAGTTGGGGACAAACCTAAAATGTTTTAATTAATATTCCAAACCCTGCAAAGCTTAGCTAGCTCGCCAATGTTTGATTTCTGTAGACCTGTGCTGTTCAGTAGCCACTGGCCACATATGGCCAGTAAGGCATATGAAATGTGGCTAGTCTGAATTCAGATGTGCTGTAAGTATAAAACACACATGGGCTTTTGAAGACACACAATGTAAAAAAGAACGTAAAATATCTCATTGATTTTTTTTCTTATTGATTATATGTTGAGATAATACTTTGCATTTAGTTATTTACATATTTTATTAAACTTAACAATTAAATTAACAATTTCTATGTTTTTTAAAATGTGGCTGCATTTGTAGCTTGCATTGTATTTCTACTGGACAGCACTGGTATTATAGCCTTTATTAATAGACAGTGGGAGTATTTCTATCTGGAATTCGGTATTTCCTTCCCAATTCACAACATCAAGGATGTGATGGCCTTAATAGACTCTACTGTTGTATATATTGCCAGGGAAAATTATGAAGTACTTTGAAACAGATAAAAGAAAAGTGTCCTGTCTAATTAGATGGATATAATTGGGGTTACCTCCACGTTTTATTGTTCTTGGGCTATTTTATAGTTTTGAAAGTTGTAGAAAACTGATAATGAGGAAAATAATTCTTATCTATAGAAGTCAAATTTGTTATATCTGGTGGAATGTAATTGATCATTGCCTGCAGATAGATCCTTTTGCATCTTGTAAATTATTTCTGGCATTCCCTATTGCCCATATATATGTGGATTGTTGAATTCTTCTTTGATCTGATGATAACATCTTATTTATCTCTTATTAATTAATGAGCTAAATAAAATCTTGGAAACAAGGTCATTTTATCTTCTTATGAGAGTCACAATTTTACCCTTTTCAGATGAGATTGGGTGTGTTCAGAGTAGTATGGCTGTAGACAATATTACCTTTTCCAAACAACATTACAGAATGTAGGAATTTATGGTGGTCAAGATTAGCTGACCAACATGTTCTTCCTTCCTCCCTCCAACTGCTAGTCACTCCTCTGGGTTGTTCTGAGCTACGTCTGGCACCCTGAGATGGAATACAGAGTGCATTTTTCTATAGAAAGTATTTTATCTGGTGGTTGTTTGCTGCTTAAACATTATTCATATATAAGGCAAGCTAAACTGTGGGTTGTTTTGAATTTTGTGAGTCAACCAGAGAATCCTCCTATCCAGTGGAATATTTGATTCTAAGAAAAAAGTTCTTCATTCCAAATTATGAAAGAGAAACTTAGCATACTACTCATTTGTAAGGCACGCACCACGGATATTGCTCAGGCACCCAGTTGCATGAAGTCCCCAGAGTTTAACGGTAACAGGTGTTTAAAAGAAAGAGAGTTGTTCCTGCTTTTTGTTCTGGTGAGGTTATCTGTTTGTTTGTTTTGCTTCATAAACATTAAAAAAAAAATCCAATTCTTATTTTACCTTGTTGTCTTTTTCCAATAAGGGCTGGCTTCCTTCAAAGCAAGGTAGGACGATATGAGCCAGTCACATCAGTATGTATGTAACAATCCCATTCATTACTGTAAATAGAATTATTTCAGCAAACAAGAGCAAATTAAAAATATAGAATTGGCAATTTCACATACTGTCCTTTTTTAAAAGTTTGGAAATATTGCACTTAGGATGTATATGTTTGATTTCTTTTCCTCATTAAAAAAAAAGTTGGCTTTTTTAGCAGAAATATTATTATATTTTGTGAGTGTTGGCCTCCAGCATTTAAGTTTTTACAGAACATGAGGACGTTTACTGGTACTTCATAAGCAGGGAAGTATGATTTTTATACATCTGTAATTCTGAAAATGAAACATTCACTCTACTAATGCAGAAGAGCCCACTTATGAATTATATGTTTTATGAACTTTTTAAATATAAAGCAACCATCTTGGCAACTCCATTTAAAGTATACTTATACAGTATTCTCACAATATAATCTACCCATATATAATTATTTTCTTCCTTGTTTCTTTGAGAAGTAACTTGAGGCTTTATGGCATGAGTAAAGCCAAAGACTATACTTACCATAATTTACCTGGGGATACAATAAAGAAAACCAAAATACATGCCTTTTATAATTTTCAGTTGTTTGAAGTTAATTTTTGAAGTTTAACTTGGCAATAGCTGCTTTTGATTTTTTATACTAAGAAATGTTTTTTAAATTGTTAACAAAGAAGAATATGAATTTATGCAACTATTTATTTCAGAATAAAATAACATCTTTTTAATAAGTCAGTTTAATTAAATGAAAACCTTTGGTAAAATTTGAAGGATCTTTATGTGCTTTTGATGTATCTTATAAAAAAAAAGTATTGGTGGCCCTTAGTTCTCATTAAACGAGGAAAAAACTGGCACATTAAGTCTTCTGTCATTATTCAAAAATAATAGAGTACTGTATTCAAAAAATAAAACTAAGTTTTTATTTGCATAGAAAAATTGTTTCTTATAAAAGAGCTTTACTCCTCACCCATTTTCCACACAAAGGAATTACTAAATTCTTTGTCTCTTTCTTTTTTTTTTTTTTGGAGACGGAGTCTCGCTGTGTCCCCCAGGCTGGAGTGCAGTGGCGCGACCTCGGCTCACTGCAAGCTTCGCCTCCCGGGTTCACGCCATTCTCCTGCCTCAGCCTCCTGAGTAGCTGGGACTACAGGCGCCCACTACCGCGCCCGGCTAATTTTTTGTGTTTTTAGTAGAGACGGGGTTTCACCGTGGTCTCGATCTCCTGACCTTGTGATCCGCCCGCCTCGGCCTCCCAAAGTGCTGGGATTACAGGCGTGAGCCACCGCGCCCGGCCTTTATGTCTTTCTTTAGCTAGGATTTCTTTAATTAGGATTTTCCTCTCACATTGATTTTACTTGTTTCATTGCTAGAAAAGTGTTGGTTGCAGTGATGACTGATAGTTAAATAAATAGATATAGAGATGTAGATTCTTTCTGGAAAGCAAAGAATTGGGGATTTTTTTCCAGAAAATAGTTTTACTTTTTATTAACTTTATGATATTTAAAAAATTAATAAAAGGATGATGTCTTCGTCCTTGACTGACCATTAAGGGCTAAAAAGGTTTAGAAAAAAGATTACTATTTATTACATATGACTAGGATACTTATTGATACTATTGACCATATAAATCATATCACATACTATTTATGACATATGACTTCATATAAAGGAGAGCTTCCATTGTTAACATGATCATTATTTATGTGAAAAATAGCTAAGAAAGGGGTACATTCAGGAGGCATGGAGCACTCCAGCTATTTTTAATAACTGAAGTAAATGGGGTTCAGGCAATTCATAAAATGCCTGAATTGTTAGGCAATGTTTTATATTTGCTTTTTGCTTGGAAGAGGAATCTTCATCAGTTTCAAAAGTATCCTTGCCCATCTCCCTTAGAAAAAGTTCAGAACTACTTAGGTAGCAGGATTGCTAAAGCTTGCTGCTTGTCTCTTTAACATGTAGGTGAAAATGAACATTTTAAAGAACATCTTACTGTTTTGGCCATAGGATGGCCAGTGCAATCCAAAGACTATACTTTCCATAAAGACTTTTGGCAGTGTAAGCTGAAGAAGGCACAGTGCTTTAGCATCTCAGGCCTCTTTTCTCAAAATCTTAAGCCCCCTTTCTTTTGAACACCATGCTGTCTTGCCTCCTGGCCCCCAGTCTTTTCACCCTTTTCGCTCTGAATTAGCTAAAGAAAATTCATGGCACTTCTGGCTTCTAGAGGGATGCATAATTCCAACCCCATAGATAAAAATGCAGTAATGTGATCCATTTAAGAATGCAATCAATGTATGTTCATACAATGGGTCTGTGTTAGGAATATATTATTAAATGAATATTGTGCTGTCGATAAGGGGTTTTATTAATTTACAAACTGAGAACTCCAGTATTTCTATCAATAACATGAGTAAGAAAGTGATGAATCATTTACAATAAACCCTGATGGAGACAATGTTATCAAAGTCTATATTTGCCATGCATAAAATTTATCCACGCTTGACTTTAATTTCTGTTCTTAAAAGCTTTCTCTGTATCCTAAAATAAAGGCATGGTTTTATTTGCAGGTGAACAGAAATTGTAGGAAATTGCAAAGCAACCTCTGATAATGAACATCTTGCCAGGAAAATGTATCTGATCTCTGAGGAAAGGTGTTGGAAGAGATGGGAGACGGCAGGAGGATTGTCTCAAACACAAGTCTGAGTTCTTTTGACAGCAATGTCTCCCTGTTTCTGAAATATAGAGAATTCGACTGAAGAAGCGAGGAAGTTTTGGAGACATAATCAGAAAGAGAGAAATGCAGACAAAGAAGTTGTTGAAACTAGCTCACTTCTCTTCATGCTATTTTCAGAATTTTTCTTTACATCTTGCACTAAAAACAACCCCGCGCAAAAGACAAACCTTTTCCAGATGTTTTGGTGAATTCACTTTTATTCTCCATGGGCAATAATAACCAGTTTTTGTTTAAGGCCTTATGATTTAAAAAGCATGCACTACTAATATTTACAATAATAACATTTTTGATGTTTACAAGAATCCCTTAAAATTGCTGTTATTTTTATTTACTATTATCATACTGACTTTTTCAAATAAGACAATTGAAATTCAGTCTCTTTTTAATCATCCAAGTAATAAGCAGTGGAAGAGGCACTTTAAAATACAAATTATTAAACTCTGAATTCTCTGCCTTTCTTCCTCCTTTTGCATGACAATAGGGTAAAATGAGACTAGCATGTTTTAATAAATAAATTTTTATTTGCTTTTTTGAGTAAGAGCTTGGAGAAATCTAATATGTCATTTTGTGTACTCTTAAAAATCCTTTGCTTGAAGAATCTAATGACTTTTATGTCTATGGATTTATATATTATTTGCACCATTTTGAAATATTTAGGAAAGGAGAGAATATAATTATTTGCCATGAAAATAAACTAACACTATCAGGACAGGAGTCGATGCCAACCAAAGCATCCTATTGCCCCATACGCTGTTGCTGGCATTGATGAAAGTTGAGGATTGGAAGAAGCAGAATCAGCCAGCCTCGTGTAGATTTCAACTGGAATCTGGGCTGTTCCTCTAGGGTGCACCAGGGGCCTTCCTCCTCCCCTCACTTTCTTCCATTCCCCACTCAGCAGTTTCAGAGGTTGACAAGAATTCAGCTCAGTCAGGCAAATGTTGGTTTATAACACGAACACTGACCATCTTACAATGAGAGAGGGGAAGCAAAGAGAGATTGCCAGACATCTACAGTAAATCAAAAGACGATGTCGGGATCTTTCCATGATGCCAAGTGCTTGCTACTGATGGGTTTTTCTCCTGAAGTAACTTTTAGCTACATTTACAGATTTTCAGAGGAAAGAACCCCTGTAGCCATGTTTTCCCCCAAAGATCAGGCTCCCTTTCCACCTCAGAATGGCTTCTCACAAATACAGTAGTTCTTCAACAACAGATGGGTCTAAGTTGAAAGAGACCTTGTCATTGATCCAGTGGCATGAGGACTTCTTCAAGTGTACATGTGGATCTGATGGTCACGGAGGGACCACACGACATTGATGCAGTTCCTCTTAATGGGCCAGCTCTTCATCAGCCCTGATGTTCAGGCACCCATGTTTAAGATGCAGCCCCCCAGCAAGACCAGCATGAGTGCCACAGAGCTTTGTGGAGACTCGCCAACATAATAGGCCAGTATTTGGGAGATTATGTGATTTCAGTTTCATACCATCTGTCCCCAGATTTCCTTCACTACCAGGCTGGCCACTGGCTTTGGAGGACAGTCAAAATCCAGGGCTCTGGAATACTCTTTATGGAGTTCAAAGGAGCAGGCGTCCCTGTGAACTCCAACGCTGGTTGTTGCCATGGGGAAGTGTACCGAGATTGTTGGCTTCCAGCAAGATATGTACTTGAAAGTCCTAATGAAAGCATGTTAAGCCCTCGGAAGCTGGCTATGTGTCTGAGAGCCTGGCCAAGAGATGTCAGATCGCTCCACGGGCAAGAGAGAACATAAGCAACTGAGAAAAAGGGAGGAAGAGACATGCTGACGTTCTTCTCAACAGGAACATTCTTTCTTCTTGGGAGTCCATCAGCCTCATCATTTATTATCAGACTGTAACCACCCTTCATCCTCTTTCTCCAACAGGATCTCATCATTCCAATAAGAACCTAAATCATAAAGTAAAAACAAGAAAAATACGGCTTTTTGTTTTTGGCTAGAAGGTCAGAGTTTCTTTTCTTTCTTTCTTTTTTTTTTAATGCCGGCTTATTTTATACAGGCTCTTGAATGATTGTTTTCTTTTCTCCTAGGCAATCTGATTGATGCAGTAAAGGTCTGGAAGCCCTAAAATGTTGGGTCAATTCCTAACTCCGACACAAAGAAGCTAAACAACCTGCAAGATAATATGTAAAAAAAATCAACCACAATGTTTCCATCTGCAAAACAGAGTAGGGGTGCCACTGGGAAGTATTTCAAAAACCTTGTGTTCCTCATGCTAATTATTCACCAGTTGGCTTTCCAGGTCATGCCTCTTGACATCAGTAGCTTGATTGCCAACGGGATGATGATACTGGTTTCACTTTTAAATATGGGTTTCAAAAGTATCAGTTTTCACAGTCGTCAGAGAAACAGAATATTGGATGTGGGAAAAAAGCCTCAGGCAGAAATCCAGATGTCAGTCTCCCTCATTTCACAATGAGGAAGCCGAGGCCCAGAGTGGTGAGTGACCTGTCCAAGGCCACAGTCAGAGTTAGAGCTGTGCCAGGCCCAGGACGCGGGGCTTTCCTTTTGATCAACATCACATTTCCTAAACCAGCTTGCTTCTTATATGCCTGCTTTCCATGATGATTTCTGGGGAAAGGATTTCTCATAACATGGATTTTTCATGGCTCTAGATGGGTGATTTGGGGCAACGTAGAAGGGCGCCTTTTGATCTAGCTGCTTCCGCATCAAGTACAACACTCCTTCCTCGATGGAAGAATGGTCGGCCTCTCCTATCAGTCGCTGAAGTCTTAGAAGACATGAAAATAAACAAAACCTGACAATTCTGTTCCCTGTGTTATGACCTGTTCACCTCCCCTGCCACTTCCAACTTGACTTCTCCCTGAGTAGCCCCCACGTTATTTAAGTCAGCAGGGCTTTCAGAAGTCAGGCAGTGCTGAGGCTGCCAGAAGGAATACTTGCGTGGCAGGCGCATGTGGGTCTGAGCTCTTTAGACTCTGGGTCATGACTGGCATAGAAGGGGTTCCTGCTGCTCTTCAAATCGCTTTTGGTCTTGAAACTTCCTTCCAATGGTTCCCTCCCTTATGTTTAACCACTTCATGCCATGGAATCACCGAAGGTCTCACTCTGACAAATAATATTTTTTGAAGCACTCAGGAGTCTACTTTATTCTGGAATGTTCCAACAGGCAGCTTTAACAAAAATATGGGTAACTTCTTGAAAAAAGAGTAAGCTCAACTTAAAGTTGACTGCGAATGACGATAGCAATCTGACCTTCGATTCATTAAAAAATACCCATATGTTCACAGAAGGTTGTTTCATAACAGCTGCAAAGTGGAAGTGACCCAAATGAATGTCTATCGGTGGATGCCTGGGTGAGCAAAATATGGTATATCTACACAATGGAATATTACTTGCAATGAAAAAAAGTATTGCTACATGATACGTGAACACATCTCAAAGTTATGCAAAGTGAAAAAGGTCAGATCACATATTGTATGATTCCATGTATATAAAATGTCCAGAAAAAGCAAATCTATAAGAGACAGAAAAATTAGTGACTGCCATGGGCCAGAGGTGGGAAGAGGGAGTGACTGCAAATGGGCACGAGGTTTATTTCGGGGGTGATGGAATTGCTCTAAAATTAGATTGCAGTGATGGTCGCACAACTCTGAATATTTATGAAAAAAATCATGGAGTTTTGACTTCAAAAGAGTGAGTTTTATGGTATGTAAATAGTACCTCCATAAAGCTGTGCAAATGAATAACCATGCAGCAGATGCGCCAGCTCTAGCAGGAAGGAGATCTTTGGAGTAGAGGGATGTCTGCTGTGGTTGGGCCAACAGACGAACTCAGCCATACAGTTTCCCTCACCCTGACTGCTCCTCATGAAGGGCGACCTTCCAGTCCAGGCAGAAGCCCTTGACATGATGCAACGATTTATTAAATAGACAGGCTGCCCTTACGAGGTGAAGCCTGACAAAGCCTCAGTTCAGGGACATCTGCATTCAGAGTGAAAAACCGATGGCAGCCACAATGATTTAGATCTGCAATTAAGACATTTAAAGTGTTTAGGGCTGACAAGGAGTTAAAGTAAATGTTGATTCAGTTATGAAGTCTTCAAAGATTTAGGCTTGCAAAAGGGCCTTGCACAACTGTAGGATTTTATTTATTTATGCATTGTTATTGACTTTAAAATATTCTTTTTTCTCCCCCCACAGAACTTTTCCAACCAGCAGTGGGCCCTTAGCAGGGGAGACTGGAAACAGGTTTGAATAATGCATTCAAGGTAATTTTCAAAAAAATCACCATTTAACGAGTACCATATTCCCTCCAATTTTCCCTTACATATGATTCACCATTTTGAAAATACTGATGTATAAAGAATGCATTGAATGTGGCAAAAGTTGAAGATAGCCCCTGTGGATAAGACCTAATGGACACCATCCTGAAATAATACATATAGCTCAACCCCCAAACATATGTCTTTAATTTAAAATAATTCAGCAATCATGTTCAACCAGAACCTGATTACACAAAATGGGACTTTTTAACTCCCAGTCTTGGATCAAATTTTGAGGCTACAAAAAAGCAGGGGGTGGCAAAGATAATATATACCATGTTTATATATTCCAGATATGGTGATTAAATGTTCCACACGCGGGCTGGGCGTGGTGGCTCACGCCTGTAAACCCAGCACTTTGGGAGGCTGAGGCAGGCAGATCACCTGAGGTCAGAAGTTTGAGACGAGCCTGACCAACTTGAAAAACCGTGTCTCTACTAAAAATACAAAATTAGCTGAGCGTGGTGGTGCATGCCTGTAATCCCAGCTACTCAGGAGGCTGAGGCAAGAGAATTGCTTGAACCCGGGAGGTGGAGGTTGCGGTGAGCCAAGGTTGTGCCATTGCACTCCAGCCTGGGCAACAAGAGCGAAACTCGGTTTCAAAAAAAAAAAAAAAAAGATCCACACACCAATTTAACTGTTTTTTTTTTTTTTTTTTTTTGAGCTTATCAAGGCACCTAGTGCCATTTTCCTCCTGTAAATATTTACCTTCCTTTAAGAGAACTTGAGTGAAAGTCCTGACTGGGATGCAAAAGAAAAAATGCTGAACATAAATTGAGCCTCTGTCAGAATATTATGGCTTTCAAACCACTGAACTACAGTCTTATTGTCGACTTTCTCAGAGGTTCAGGAGGGAAGGGTGGCACAGGGGGCCCGGTACGTGGCCCAGAAGACGGTATCCGCTGTGGTTCCTGAAGGGTTTGGCTTCTCTCTGATCTTTAATTTTGTTGCTGGCTGCTGCCTTCTCTTCTCACCTATGATGATGTGGGTCCCCTTCCATATAGAAAGTAGAGCCCCCTCCTGTATTGTGATTTCTGAGATGTGAAGAGGTCCCCCAATCCTTCTTCTTGATAGGATCCCCAATACTTGACGTGCCACCATTATTAAGTACTTATTTCTTCAAATCCTTGTGATCAGAAGTAGTGGATATAGTGTTTGGTGAATCCCAAGCAACGGTCTCTAGGGATAAGATTCCAGATAAAACACAAAACACCCAGTTCAATTTGAGTTTCAAATAAACTACAAACATTGGCTCCTCATGAAGGGCGACCTTCAAGTCCAGGCAGAAGCCCTTGACATGATGCACCGATTTATTAAATAGACAGGCTGCTATTATTCATTAAATAAATCAGACTGCTATAGATAAATCATATTCAGATCATCACTAGAAGAAAAATCACGAGTCAGTTAATTTTACTCAACAAATGTTATAAAAGCTGGCCCCCCAAGATGGGATGCTCTACAAATTAGGCACCATAAACCTGGATATACTAGAAATAAAGCTTCATGTTTGTGTGCTTTGTTTTGAAATAAATGGACATATTTAGAATGGATGGTTTTCTTTTCATGTTGATAATGTTTCTGCTTTTCTTTTGTTCCTTTTGTTTACAGATCCTTTATGCACTGAAAGAAGAAAGTAGAACCATTTCTGGGCCCCAGATGTGGGAAGAGCTCCTGTTGCTGTGGATTCTGACTTCTGGGTCTTGGAGCAGGAGGTGGCCAGCAAGCTAAGCTGTCCTGAGGGTGTGCCGGGCCAGGGGCTGAAGACAACGTTGGAGCATCCACAGACTGGTTTGTCTCAAGAAACATGTTACTAAATATGAAATGGCAAAATCTGCCAAGTGGGTTTACTTTTCCCCCATAGATTAGAATGGATTCAATATTATCTCTTTATTAGATTCACTTTTAATCACTTGCATAGCAAGTAAGACAGAAGGGTGGTTTGAAAGTCAATCATGTGAGAATTCCAGATAAATTGACTTTGCTCGCAACAATCTGTTATTCATGTGACTATCAACTGTCATGTGTGCTGGGACAAAAAAGAAGATTAAGGTTCACTGGTCTCAGACAGTTCCAGGAGAGGAAACCCAGGATTGAACTTTTTCAGCCTTCTTTGGTAAAACGTGCTGCTCTGTGGGTGTGTCAAAGCTTTTTTCAGTTTCCTAAACTCCTGTATTCAAGAAGAGAAGCTATTTTCTCTTCTTTATCATCCTTCCTTGACAAAGCAAAACGTATTTTCATTGTCTGCTCTGTATCATCCAGGCTTGGTTCCTGTCTTCAAAGAGCATATAGTTCAAACAAAGGAGAGGGAGCATTTTACAAGGGAATTAAAGATGAAAGACTCTGAAAGCCAGTTTAAAAAGTCGAGAGGGAGGGGTCTGGGAGAAGCTGAGCAGGGGTGAAAGGGTACAAAACATTATGGAAGGAGAACAGGGGAACACCTTGACTACTGGGTAGAAATACCAATCAGTGTGTAGAAACCACCACAGTGGTAACACGGATCAGTGGGTGGAAACCAATGACAGCAGGTGTGTGAGGCATGGAACACTTGGCTTATTGTAAAGTTTTCAAAATATGTGGTCCTTTCTATCCACCAGGGGATGGGAGTTGTCTCTGTATATCAACCACAGAAGGGCTGTTTCGGTTCATCATTCTGTGGTCTACCTGGGTAGACCTGATGCGGCCGTGTTTCCGGGGAAAGGAAGAACAGCTTTTGTTTTGTGATATTTAATGGTAGATGTAGTGCCATGGAATGATGCAGATTTCATTCAGATATTCTTGGATCTTGGCCTCAGGACTCACTCATTCTTCCTTATATGAGCATTGGTAGTTATAGGTTTTACCCTTCCTTTAATTTTAAGTCCTTTGAATGCAAAAACTGTATCCAATTTGTCACTGTCTCCCAACAGTACTTAACAGTGTCTGATGCATCATAGGGAGTTTGTAAACGTTTGGATGAATAAAGGGAAAACAAAAACAACAAAAATAACCTTTATTTTGCTTTAATAAAAATATTTTAACTAGTTTCCACTGGCATGTGGTAGATATATTCTAAGAAACAGTCTCCTCAAATTATGGCTTCAATAATGGATGAAAATCAATTTCCTAATGAATTATTTGTAGAAAGCACCACACACACACACACACACACACACACACACACACACCCAACTTCAATAAAAAAGTCATTTGAGATTTTAAGAACTATAGGATAATAATAGGTAATCCATGTGAAGTTATGACAGCTTGTAAAGCCAGGGAGGGCACGAGGAAATGAAATACACAGATCATCTTCAAACCACAGAAGCTCAGACTTCTCTTGCTCTAAAAGTTGACAATCAGTGAAAAGCTCACTGATAGCTGAGTTTTACCTCCTCTTATTCTGTATAATCCCTTTTTTGGTGAAAGCAGAGATGTCATGGACAATGTAGTCTTTTATCAAATCTGAGAGGCCATTGATTGTAAGACAACATTGCTTTAGGTATCACTGAGAAAGAAAAAAAGCCTTGCCAAGTAAACTCCCCAAATTCAGAGACATTCAAATGTTGAAAAATAACTGTTTCAGAATCTGTGAAATACAGACTGTTCTCCCTAATGCTTGGCCCACGGCTTTGCATACCACAGGTGGTCAATAAGCATTTGTTGAAAGAGTGAGTGAATAATGTTGACAAGCAGAAATGCCTGGTTTATCATGCCTAGAGCCCATCACTGAGAACAGTGGGCTAGATCCCTTCTTGATGTTTTAAGTAATCGCTGAGTGGATGGGTGGGCGATTGCTCTTCTGATTACTAAGAACAAAACAAAACAAAACAAAACACAAAACTAATAAAAAACAAAGTTGCAGAACTGCATCCTGTTGATGTACCCCCAGAGGAGTCAGGCCTGGAGTATTGCTCAGTAAGAAATAGTGACTTTTGCATCCTCACCGTCCTAGTCACACGGGGGTTTTTCTCTGAATAATCAAAGAAGGGATTATTTTTTGTAAGAATGGACAGATGAGTGTGTGAGTTTGTGTAGGGTAAAGGAAGGCAGGTAGATAGAAATACATCGAAGAGTAAAAACTTCCTTAAAAAAAAGCTTGCTGGGTTTAACACATGCATCATTCACACATCGGAAAACAGTATACACTTGTGACTCTGTACCCACAGAACTCAGAATTGCAGCTTGCAACTCCATGTCTCCTCACAGTGATAAATATGGGCAATATTAATGTCATCTTCTAAGCCCCCAAAAATATAGCTGACTGTGTTCAACAGAGCTGGTCAGACTGCTATAGATAAATCATATTCAGATCAGAACTCCATGTACACATAATCTTTGGGGCATTTCCAAAGTCTAGGGGCATGCAGTGACAGATCTGGGTTATTAATATCACTTCGTAGCCTGTTCTACTTGAGTTTTTTTTTCCCTACCAGTAATAAGGATGGCTTCTCTGACACTGACCTCTTTATAAATTGGCTTCTAGTTCGTCTTTCCAGAGGTGCCACCAGAGAACCAAGAAGCAATTTCAATTAAGAGTACAAGGATAATTTTGGAATATACCTTTTTTAGTTGTTCTAAACTAAAAAATATTATTTTTTAGTTTTTACTCATTTTCAATAATGGTTGTGCAAGACCCTCTTAAGATCATTTCCATTTTCAGGAGGCTACTGCAAGAGTCTCACTGGGCTTATCTGACTGCATTGACAAAAGGGCAGAGCTTAAGAATTTGATCATTGCTAGGCTCTTCAACAGGAGGATCTGTACCTGATTCCAGTGGGTATTTCTCTGGGACCTGGCACAGGTTTTGAACCTAGTATCTGCTTAACTGAATTGTATTAAGTAAATGAATAATGAACGAATGATGCTAAGAAGCACAAGCCTCTTGGTACCACTGTAGCAATTAAAGACTTTTAGAGTATATAAGCTTTTCTTCCTAAAATGCATTCTGAGGAGAGTAGATAAGTATTGATGCAAGAAAACGAACTCAAGTCCAAAAAATTGTTGAGCATTAGTGGATTCAGCAAGGATTTTTCATCTCTTTTTCTTAGATTCCCCTGAAAGAATTTTGAAACTGTAGACCCTGTCACTACTTTTAAGGTAGCATCTACATTTTTAAAATCACAAATTGTAACAGTTACAAAGGACGCAATTTCTGGCTTGCTTGACAGTTATGAAGGACACAATTTATGGCACATTTCTACTGTTATATCATTCTTTTATTTTTTATTTTTTAATTTTTTGAGATGGAGTCTTGCTCTGTCACCCAGGCTGAAGTGCAGTGGTGAAATCTCAGCTCACCGCAACTTCCACCTCCTGGATTCAAGCAATTCTCCCACCTCAGCCTCCTGAGTAGCTGTGATTGCAGGCATGCACCACCAACCCAGATAATTTTTTTTTCACCATATTGGCCAGGCTGGTCTCGAACTCCTGGCCTCAAGTGATCCACCCGCCTCGGCTTCCCAAAGTGCTGGGATTACAGGTGTGAGCCATCACCCCTGGTCTATGTTACTCTTTTAAATGTATCCACAGAATCTAAGTATCATAACAATTTGATGCCTAGCTCACTATTTTAAAAAAATATAGAAACAAGCTCTTGAAATTTTACATTTCTTTATCTTTATAAATGCATTCTTTATATTCTACTTTTCCCATATGGTTTTATCTTAATGAAATGTATTTTCATGCTTAAAAGACTTTTCTTGAACACTTTGCTTTACTTCTCTGCAACAAAAATATGTATCAAATTTGAAATTAATAGTTTTATTCATTGTGCCCATAGTGTTTTGTATTAAAAATTCTACCATTGATATTTAACAAATAATAATATAAAGGTTAATAAAATTATTAAACATGAAAAGTAAAACTACTGAATATTTACCTCTTAATGAAATGGAAGAGGCTATTTGTTAGAAATTGGAATTCAAACAAGGTTCATACATGGCAATTGGTTGGTATGTCTCTTAAGTCTCCTAGCCTTTCTTAGTCTTTAAATATCTCCTCTATAGCTTTCTTCTCAATTTATTAAAAACATCAGGGCCTTTTTTCCTGTATTTACCAGCAAATTGTTAGTTAAACCTAGAAGCATGATCAGACTCAGGTTCAACTTTCGGGTAAAATACTTATTTTAGTCATTAATGCTTCCTTTGCGTACCTTTCTTAACCTTTCAAATTTAAGTCTGTATCTGCCTTTTAATCCAAGCTCCACACTCCCTTTCCCAATAATCTCTGGCACTGGAAAACTGAGGCAACACAGTAAGGCCAAGGCTATCAAACACTCAGATTATCCCAGATTGAAAGTTTGGTCATCCCATCAGATAAAAGCCTACCTGACTGAGTTGCTGGCAGTGGGTAGAGACAACATAGAAAGGATGGGGAGAAGGCAGCTATGATGACCAAGTTGGGCTTCCTGACCAGTTACAGAAGTGGGAACTGAAGTAGGGTCCTCAACTCTACTTCTCTTTGTGTATTTCCCAAAGTCTGAGAAAAGTACAGATGCACAGACAACCTTCAGTAGTATCAGAAGTAGTGTCCGTTGCCATCCCAGGTCTCATAGAAGGGCAATACTGTTTGCAGGATGGAGGGAGGCATATAAAACATACCTAGGGTATAGCCATGGGCTTGTCTACTTCAGCCTCCTCTGCAGCTGGAGTTACCGGCATGTCTGTTGTCCTAAATGCACACATCTCCCAAAACAAGCATTAAGTCTCTCAGACAGGACTACCCAAACTCTTTAGGAAGAGCAGAAACATTTCCTGTGCTCTAATTGGATAGACATGCCTATCTCCACGAATTCCACGTTCTGATGCTTCGTTCTTTCCTCCATATTCCTCTCTCCACATATTCTTTCTCCTCTTTGGGATTTTGATGGACATTCTCTTAGTTTTCAAGAGTAAAAACTGAAGATTACTATTTGAATAAGGCTTGGTTATGCTCTTAGCCAAGGGTCCTTGATCTCGTTTCCTTTTCTGGGAAAGAAGGAAAAGGGCTTGTTCTTCCCTATAAAGCTTGGAAATCCATTCTCCAAATTGCACAAGAGATCGTATCAATGTGTAGCTAGCTATACCAACTAAATATATGTTTCAAGTATTTGGAGAAAGTGTTTTGTGACAAGAGGGAGGTAAAAAATAAAAAGTGGGAAGACAGAAAGGGTTATAAAGGGAGGGAGAAATAAAAGGAAACAGAAGTTTGTGGCATAACCAGCAGATGATTACTATTCCTTAGCTCCACTTCCCTACTGATATTGAAATGATCGCTTATTTTCGACCTAATGGGGAAGACTATTTTCTGGGGCATCACCAGACTGCTGCTCTGGACTTTCCAGCAACCTGTTTAGGTTAAGGACAGACACTCAGAAGAGCCAGCTGAGGGTTCTAATTTAAAGTACTCAACATTAGCTTTCCAATGCTTTTTTGCAATTATTCACCCTACTTGACCTCACTGCCTGAAATTTCATGATAGGAAATTACTCTTTGGAGTAATAAGAGTAATATTTCATGCTTATTTCATGATAAGAAATCACCCTGTGGAGTAATATGCATCCTGTTTAATAATGCAAGCACTCTGAGAAAAGTATTGAGTTAAAGTCTCATAGCTCTCCATGCCTTTCCTCCTATTAGAAGGTGAGGACAGGTACCAGAGGAGTGGAGAGGTGGAGAGTTTAGAGAGGGACAATTTGGGGTATGGGCCACTTCCAGAGAGGCAGTGTCAGGATTGAGCCCATCGTGGGTTGTGTCAGAGCATGAGAGCCCTTGCTGGAGTAATTTTATGAGCTAATGAAATAAAATCAATAAACCGAGAATCTGGTAAAGTGTCAAAAAATTGAGGAGATTGACGTATAATACCCCAATATTTTTCTAGTATAACAAACACTGTTATTTCATAAAAGAGGGGACATTTCTTGCCCCTTTTTCTTGCCCTTGGTGATGTTAAAAAGTAAAAAAGTGAGTCTCAATTGCTTAAACCTGGGAGGTGGAGGTTACAGTGAGCTGAGATTGTGCCACTGCACTCTAGCCTGGGTGACAGAGTGAGACTCCATCTCAAAAAAAAAA